TTAAAAAGAGTAGTGACAAATCCTATGTACGTAATCTACGTTTCTGAATACGCGCTGCGGCATACCCAAAACAAAGCCTGTATACCATCCTTATTTCATATGGCTTAGGACAATGCATCAAAGTATGCGGGTTCACATATGCAGAAAACGTAATACTTCAAGTCGAAGGATAGTTACACCCGTGGTCGCGCTAAAGATGCTTAGAGCATGAACTAAAAGTTCAAGCAACATCTTTAGGATGGGTCAGTCCGGCATCCTATTATCTCTAGATAATATCTGCCCATGTGCGGATGCGAACACACCGTCATTGACTATGAGACTAAGTCAAACATCCAACACACACTAGTCTCACATGCATTAACGATATCTCACTCTCGTTAATACTCGACTATGGACATTTAGATAAATATTTATTTCAAGATGTTAGTCTCATCAGCAGAAAAACACTATCTGATAAACATCTTTTAAATATAAATCTAGGAATATAATATTTGTTTACATTAGCATGAGATGTGTAAACATATTATATCTGTCTATACATGATAGAATAACGATAAACAGTTGGCCATCAGGCCATCCGTAGTTTATTTTTTCTCCTGTGTTTTAAAACACCGTATTTAAGAAATGCACCCAAGGCCAATCTTGCCCATTAGACCCAAAAATCGTCTTTATTTTAGATTATGGACATTATACCCGTCCTCAATTTGTACCTGTCGTATTGTTTTAGCGAAGAATGCAAATTAATAATTGACCGAAAATGAGAGAACAATCTCTTTCTTGGTCAACTACCGCTGCCCCGGAGGCATAAATGGTAAACTCACCGGGATCTGACCGAGAACAGGGGATCCGGCTGGATCATCTCCCGTCGGCGCTCCTCGCCACCCTGATGACAAAGCTTGACATTCCCTCCATACGCTCCCTCGCGTGCACTTGCAAGGCCTTATACTCATGCGCCTCTCAGATAGCCTCTTTCCTTCCCTTTTTCCATCTTCTGGTAAGTCCTGGTCCTAACGGAGTTATTGCCATTCCGTTCTTCGGTTTCCACTAAAATTAACCATTCAATTACAATCCTCGGTTGATCTTTAATGTCTTTTTAATAAGGATATTGCTCCCTCCGCGGATATGCTGAGACCATTGTTGCCTCCCAACCATTACCTGCGAAGCATAAAGCTGGATTGCACTCGCCTAGACGATTCCTCGCTCGATTTTATCCTCCCTCCGACTTTACAAGAGCTTTGCCTCCATAATTGCTTCGATTTTAGCGGAAAGCTTCTTTCTCAAGTAGGTCGTGGCTGCGCAGATCTCAGGTCTTTTTATCTTTGATGATTCTGTGTTCCAGAGTGAACTAGCTTCCTCTTTTTTTTTCAATCAATTATTTGAGTAATTAATTTTTTTGTTTCAACTTTCAAGTTTAGTTACGTTTTATACTTAAAATGCTAGGATTGTTGGTGTTAGGCTCAATTAGTTATTAGTTCTTTTGTTTGGTAAATGCTGCTGTTCAGGTTTCTGTATTTGAGTTCAGTGGCAGACAAAAAAGGGAGATCAATAGATGTATCTGATCTTGAGGTTCTACTCCGCGGTTGCACTCAGTTGGAAGTAAGACTACATTATGAGATGCCTTTTGGGGAAGTTCTTGAATGATTAATTCAACCTATTAGCCACATGCTCTATAAAAAGATGATTCTTTTTATGGAATCATCAATGAATGGGTGACTTTCTTTCTTTGCCTTTAACACAGCCCTTAGGGACGTGTTTTGCGAATCTGATCTGTTAATCGTTTACTGCAAAGGAAACAGCCTAAAATCCTTAAAAAATATTAAAATTTCCTAAAAATTTAATATAGCCAGCAAGTTGAAATCAATGCAATATTCTTCAATAGGGATGCTGAATTTGGCCTAAGCAGGTCTGTAGTAAGCATAGTATCTCAAGATCTGGCTCAACTAATCTTCTACCGCAATCAGAGAGAGATCAAATTTTTCTTGCCCTGAATTATCAACTATTCTTAGTTGAAAAGATAGAATAACTGACATTTTCCTTCTCCATGTATCTTTTTTTGCATCGTGCTTTAGTATAAAAAGCTGAATTTACCTCCCAAGTGACACAAGCTAAGTTTCTTGCACATAACCTTCATGTTGATGCAGGAATGTTTTGCAGTTTTGTGTAATTTAAGATTATCTTACCCTGTTATTTATTTATTTTGCAGTCAATGGTCCTGATGTTTGATGTGTCTACATTCTTGCGCCACACTTTTGCTCGGGTATGGTCTCTGGCCCCTGCCTCGCTTTCTTCACTGCAAGTTGGGTACATTTCTTCAGTCATGGTGACTGAACTGCTTAGTCCTCCCATGGTTCCACAGCAGTCACTTAATCGTATCCAACCACCTGTGTTGCCAGGAATACAGAAGCTATGCCTTTCGGTGGACTACATCACTGACACTATGATTAATACAATATCCAAAAATCTCAACACATTGACCTATTTGGAGCTTCAAGATTCGCCCATAATGGAACCACGAGTGGCATTTGACCTTACGAATGCAGGCCTTCAACAGATGAACCCACATGGAAACCTAAAGCACCTCTCTTTAATAAGAAGGCATGATATTATTCCTGCATATTTCAAGAGAGTTAATGATCTGGGGATTCTTCTTATGGTTGACAGGTGCTCGAGCATGGAAAGTATTTGTCTAGGTGGTTTCTGCCAGGTTACGGATACAGGATTCAAGACACTTTTACATTCATGTGCAAATTTATTTAATTTTAGGGTGTCACATGGACCACTATTGACAGATCTTGTCTTTCACGATATTGGCGCAACTTCCCTGACTCTCACTCATGTCAGTTTAAGGTGGTGTAATCTTTTGACGAACTGTGTAGCTGGACTACTAGCATCCAACACGAATCTCAGTGTGCTTGACCTAAGAAAGTGTAGAAACCTTGGGGATGAAGCGCTTCGAGCCTTCAGTTCGCTTCCAAAGTTAAAGGTTTTGCTCATAGATGGTTGTGATATAAGTGATGCTGGAATATCCCACTTATCAAAAGGTGTTGTGAGTTCTCTTGTTTCACTGTCCGTCAGAGGATGCAAGAGGCTCACAGACAAATGTATTTATTATCTCTTTGAAGGATCTTCCAACCAGGAATTGAAAGAACTGGACTTGTCAAAAATTCCCAATCTTTCTGATGCCGGAATACTTTCACTTGTGAAGAGCCGGGTACCTATATTTGAGCTGAGGATGCGACATTGTCCTTTGATAGGAGATAATTCAGTTATTATGTTAGCTTCCATGAAGTTTGATGATGAGGATGGGGGGTGGCAGGGAAGTAGGTTAAGGCTGTTGGACCTTTATAAGTGTGGCAATATAACTCAACTTTCATTCCTGTGGTTCAAGAAGCCCTACTTCCCAAGACTAAGATGGTTGGGAGTGCGTGGAGGTGGAAACAGGTATATGGTGGATGCCTTGGTCCGAAATAGACCATACTTGCATGTCGCTTGGCTTGGGGAGGAGCTGGGTATCATCAACCAGTGCGGTACATCAGATGATCAGTACATGCAGGATTATGACGAAGTTGATGAACTGGAGCAGATGCTTGACGATGAGAGTGATGAAGAAATGGAAGTAGGTGCTGGCTAGCTAGCTTCAAATGTTGTACAGAGGCAGGCGTGCAAGTGGAATTTGGTTATCTGTACGTGTACATGTTTGCGGTTATGGGTTGTCCTGTATTCAATTTAATCTTCAACCTAACGAGGCCGGCTGTGCAAGTTCAGTGGGTTGACTACTACTCGTTCATCCTCTCGCTCTATATACAGAGTACTTTTTCTTTGTGGTGGTTTGGTGGAGCAGAAAATATATATGGAGAAGAAATTTAACATAACTATTGATTGGCGTTGACACCACTTGACTTACCGATTAATGGTTGCCATGCTATTTCACATGCTTACACCATAAATTGTCCGGGTTCGAGAGAGGGGCGATCCCGTAGGATTCTACATTTGGTCTAGAGTTCATTTGGTGCTTCACATAGAAAGTCCTAGAAATAGGTTCCTTTGAATTCAGTTGAACTTTTCTCAGTCCAATGAATCAATTGAAAAAGTTCCTCCGAAGCCTTCCGTCGAGAAATGCATAATGCATTGTTTGCAAACAAACACTTGTTATGGATGAATTAATATTGTATGTACGTACTATTTTATGCTTATCTTTAACTATACATCATTCCTTGGTTCTGCATATTTTCTTTGCAGTAGGTATGTTGATAATCCTCGAGTGAATCGTATTCAAAATATCAACACTGATAATAAAAAAGTAACATTAATTTTTCAATCACTAGTCGAACGAGCCAGGAGCTATTTACACTATGTATGTTTGGTTAGATGATGAATTTGAAAGGGAAAAAGAAAAGAAAATGAGTTGATTCTTTTTTTTTTGTTTGGTTAGAGGGGGGAACAAAAAGATAAGTGAGAGTGAAAGGTATACTCCTCCTTTAAAGTTCAAAACATATACCGAGTAAAAAAGGAAAATAATGAAAGTTGGACAGAGTTGAAACTGGTTATGCGATTCAAAATGAAAAGTAGAAAAGAAAAGAAAAAGAAAGGTGAGAAATGAGAATCCTCCTTTTTGTTGGACGAAAAATACACGTAAAATAACAAGAGGATATACCATTACTATTGTACTTAAATCACTATTACATAGGGTATATAGTGGTATACTAATAACAAAGATTCTATTTCATCTGTTCCAATTTATATTGCTTATTTTGGTTTGCGATGTTTCATTGAAATTAATTTTAAACTATTTTATATGGAAAATGATGGAGAATTAAAAAATAAAATTTACATATTAAAATACTACATCAAAAGATCTATAAAACTAATGATAACATGACTATTTTATTTTTATCAATGACCATCGATAAAAAAAGTGAATGAAATTTGACCATACGAATAATAAACAAACCATTAAATTTGGGATGCAGGGAGTACTAGGGAGTATCATAGAATTTTATTGGGGTGTTTGTGATTGCTAAAAATAAAATACTCCTTTCATATTTTATTAAATTTTATTTTTCCTTTTTATAATTTTTGATCAAATTTATTTTAATTTCGTCATACATTTTTAAGAATAGTATCTATATATTTAAAAAGATATACTAATTTTATACAACTTCCTCCCAAAAAAATATCACACTTTACTAGAACTTTTCTTTATTAATACGTTTTCATTGATTATTTGAAAAAACAAAATATTTTTATCTTTTCTTATTCAGTAGACTTTTTGATATAGTTTTTAAATATTATTTTTTTATTTTTGAAAATTTAAAATTTCACTTCATTCTATATGATGTGGCAAATAATTTGAAAATAGTGATAAGTAATTATTGTATTCCAATAAATGACAAAAAATAAATAGGGAATAATAAAAGGAAAATAATTTGAAGGGAAAGAATGATGATGAAAGATAGTGAAGCAAGGGACTCCCCACCCCCACCGAACGACTATTCCTATGGCGCACACCATAAACAGACGACCAACTCCGCGCTGGCAAAAGATTCCGTTTCTCTCCTCCTCCTTAGTCCTTCCTTTCCCCCCCCCCCATCTTGCCCTAATTTCACTCCTTTCCGCCTTTGTCCAATCTTCTTCTGCTTCTTCTTCTTCCTGCAAACTAATTATCATCACTATATTCATCACATACACTACTACTTATTACCCTGCCAACGGAAGATTTATATAATTAATGATAATTAATTAAGCCACCCATTTCATTTCCGTTTTTTTTCTCCCCCCGATCTCGCCTCTTCTTTCCTTATTTTCTTCTTCTTTCTTCATCCCTGCCGGCGGCGGGAGTAAAATAGTAGTCCAATTGCTCATTTCTTCTTCTCGAATTGATATGTACTATTATTATTAAAGGAAAAGATTTTTTTATTTATTTATTGGAAAAGAAAAGTCAATGGGTTGCACCAGCTCCAAGCTCGACGACTTGCCGGCGGTGGCCCTCTGCCGGGAGCGTTGCGCTTTCTTGGACGAAGCCATCCACCAGCGCTACGCCATGGCCGAGGCTCACGTAGCTTATCTTCACTCCCTTCAATCAGTCGGTGCCTCGCTGCACCGTCTCTTCAATCTGGATCTCGATGCTTCTTTTTCTTCTTCCGATGGACCCCCCTCCTCTCCCCCTCTCAAAGCCGACATCAAGCCCCCTCACCCTCACGCTGCCGTTTATCACCACCACTCCAGCTCTGGCTCCCACCTTCACTTCCACTCCGATTCAGAAGAAGACGACGACGAATGTTCCCATAGCGACTCTTTGCACCACCACCACCACCAATCCGAGACCCCCTATGCGGCTGACGATCCTGACGCCCTTTATTCTTCTTCCCCTCTTGCCTCCACTTCCGGTACATTTATGCACATGAATTTCATGCGGAACCAATCCACGCCCTCTGTTACTTATCAACAACGGCCCATGGCGGCCGACACTGTGCGCATGGGTGACATCTCTTCGTCTTCTCCTTCTTCCTCTTACCACCCTCATCCCAACCCCAGCCTCATTTCTTCTTTCTACAANGGCTCCGCTTGGGATTTTTTGAATCCTTTCGAGAGTGTTGATAATTTTTACCGTCCCTACTCGCCAAGCCGGGATTCCAGGGAGGTGAGGGAGGAGGAGGGAATTCCTGATCTGGAAGAAGATGATTCTGAGCAGGAGGTTGTGAAGAAAGTCCATGTGGATCACAAGTTTGTGGATGGGGGTAGACACCATGGCGGGAGCTATTCGAGTAAGGTTGCCTCAAAGGATGAGGATGACAAGCCGAGTGATCCGGAATCTCTTTACCAGGGGGCTAGACCAACTGTATCTGCTCAGAATGATCCCGTCGAATATGAGGTGCATATCGTGGATAAGAAAGTGGTGAACGATCCAGGGACATCAGAGGATCACAAAAATGTGCGAGGGTTCACGGCTAGAGGTTGTTTCAATGGAGACTCGGATGTCATGAGGGAGATTCAGCTTCAATTTGAACGAGCATCGGAATCCGGAAGCGAACTGGATAAGATTCTAGAGGTTGGAAAGCTACCCTACAACCGCAAACACTCTGCCTATCAAGGTAAAAGATTGCCTTTTTCTGTCTTATTTATATGATGAAGTTGTGAGATTTAATGTTTCCTGGTGAAAGCTCTCATCTTTATGAAATATGAATGGATTTTTTTCACTTGTGACTAATTCCAGTATACTTTACAATTTGTTGGTTCTAAGTTCCAGGTTATTTTAATGGACTCTCATTGTTTTTTTATATATTTAAAGTAAACTCACGGGCTTATTTTGGGACAGCTTCTTCCAAGATGTTGCACGCATTAACTCCTTCCTTGTTTGTGTTGTCATCACAACCTTCTACATCAAAAGGTGCCGAAGGTGATAAGTCTGATCCTGCTTTATTTAATGTAGAAGGAGAAGTAAGTTCTTTAAGGTCCAAAAGTCTTTCTTCTACCTTACAAAAGCTCTATCTTTGGGAGAAGAAACTCTATGAAGAAGTTAAGGTATGAATCCTTATTGTTTTACTTCTTACAACATGTTAATATTCTTAAAAAATCTACTTCTCCTAGCTTGATTATATGTTTGTATTAGCAGGCTGCGAAGTGTGATTTTATGATCTTTATCATATTGTCCTCATTCATTCTAATGGAACCCACTTTAGCTCATAGTTTTCTTATATAGGTTCATAAACCGTGGTGTGTGCATATCCGGTCTTTTTTTTTGCTGCTATTCAATTCTTCCTCTTTTTATCTATCATTTCTCCACCCCCATATCCTACTTGTGGGAGTTATTGAGTTGTCTTGTATTATACTTCCTCTTTTCACTGCACACTAAAGGAGCACCTTCTATGCAGGTTGAGGAGAAAATGCGGGTAATTCATGATAAGAAAAGTCAAAGATTGAAGCGACTAGCTGAAAAGGGTGCTGAGACTCACAGAGTAGATGTGACAAGAACCCTGGTTAGGAGCCTTTCAACAAAAATCCGAATTGCAATTCAAATTGTTGATAAGATTTCTGAGAAGATAAATAAATTGAGGGATGAAGAGTTGTGGCCACAACTTAATGAATTCATACTAGGGTAAGTAGTTTTCATTTTTTCATATGTCCATAGTGTATTTTTGGCCTCTGTGCTTTAAGGTGTGTCTATTTTTGGCCTCATTGCTTTAAAATGTTTTTGAAATGGTTTTGTGGCCATTTTTCAGGTCTTTATAACAAGGTTGTTTTGTATTTCAGCACACACACACACACATGTTGCCAGTTGCCACATTGTTTAGGGAAACATCTTCTAGTAGGGCTTGAGTGCTTACAAGTATTGCCATTAACAGCATTTATATCGCTGCTAGTATTTCAACTTTCTTCTAGATAGTCTAGTTGTTCCAGGAACGCGATTGATTATTGTGAAACTTGCTCCTAATAATATTCAAACTTAACCTTTTTCCCTAAATAGGACCCAGTGGTTTATATTCTCTGTATAGTAATTAATTAATTTTTAAATAATAATGTTCATTTACTAAAGTACTTTTAGACTTTAATTATTAAATATAACCCTAATTATAACCCTAAAATACTTTCTTTTCCTAACCAGTCTATCATCCGTCCCTCCTATTTCTTCTTCCCTCACAACTCTTCTTCTTAATCCTCCTCCTCCTCCTCCTCCTCCTTCTTCTGTCGAGGTTCTGCTGATTCAAGGACACTGCTGATGCCGCACCCCCACTCATTGTAAGGCGATGTAAATTTCACCTGGAGGTAATTTGTGATGTAAATCGTGCCTCGTCAATTTCTTTACATCACTCCTCTGGTTTTGGATTTTTTTGTTTCTTCTATTTGTTCATGGATTTAAGCACATGGAGCACCGTGAACATTGTTCTCGTCATTCACGGATGCAAGGAAAATTCCATCTAGAGTTGGCCAATGAGGGGTAAGTCGTTGAAATCACGACAATCTTTCGATGATGGGCAGATGGTGCACTGCAGTGACATTGGAATCAAAGTGGACATTGAAACCACCATTGATATTGATGGAGTGATGGGCGGCGAAAATGGTGGGTTGAGATGTGTGGTAGTGTGGCGGCGGCGGAGGCTCACTTCGATTGAGGCGGGGCTGTAAATTAGGGATAGAGTAAATCTATAGAATTGTCAAAAAGGTATTTTGGTGTGTCTGAATTGGTAATAATTAATTCATTAATTAGATATTATTTCAGGAAATTGAAACATGAAGTACTACATATTGGGAAACTGGTTGCCTTTAAATTCCCTTTGAATATTTTGATGCCACCCATGTTGATAAGGTACTTTACTTTCCCTTGTGCATTTTAATTTTGAGTAATATTTTTCATATCTCTAGGTTAACCAAAATGTGGAAATCCATGCTTGAGTGCCATCAGAATCAGTGCCATGCGATTGTGGAAGCCAAACGATTAGATGCCATTGCAAATAAAAAACAGTTTAGTGATGCTCATCTTGAAGCCACTTTGCACCTTGAGCACGATCTCCTAAACTGGACTCTAAGGTTCTCTTGCTGGATAAGTGCCCAGCGAGGTTATATCAGAGCACTAAATCACTGGCTTATGAAATGCCTACTTTACGTTCCTGAAGAAACACCTGATGGAATAGTTCCATTCTCTCCTGGTAGAATAGGTGCTCCCCCTGTGTTTGTTATCTGTAATCACTGGGCACAATCGTTGGAAAGGGTGTCTGAGAAAGAAGTTGTGGACAGTATGCGTGATTTTGCCACAAATGTCCTTCACCTGTGGGAACGAGATAAGCTAGAAATGCGCCATAGGGTGATGAATGATAATAATATGGAGAGAAAGATGAAGAACCTTGAAAGGGAGGATCAGAAGATAAAAAAAGGGATTTCCGCATTAGAAAGAAAGATTTTGGCTTCTGGGGAGGAAAATGCTCTGTCGATGAGCAAGCAGGCCATTTACCAGAATGACACTTGCAAAAATAGTAGCCTTCAGGCTGGTCTACATCATATCTTTGAGGCCATGGAGAGATTTGCTGCAAACTGCTTGAAAGTGTACGAGGAGTTATTGCAGCGCATTGAAGAGGATAATCTTGTGCATGAGCGCAACAGAGAGTCATAGCTATATGTATGCCTCCAGAAGAGTTTGGAAATACCATTATTGGGTATCAAAGTAACTTCAGCAGATGCTTTCATTGTAAATCAAATGGAGTATTGTAACTCGTCTTTTTTTCGGCTAACTATATCATATCATGGGTGCCTGGCAGCTTGGTCTTTTTTTTATTCCTTTCCTTTCAGCTGCATGCCTGAAGAATTGATTTGATCCTCAGGTCTTCAATCATGAGTTCCCTTCATTGGTTCACAAGCAGTGGCATGCACCCCTTTGGACGGGCCAGGGAAGTTTTTCCTACAAAATTTGAAACAGAACTTCCCAGCCTGATGAATACAGCTCCCTTCCTACCTGAATGCAACTCCACCAGGGGTTTTCTTCTTCCGAACTTCCCTATGGTCGCGTGTGATGCTAATTTTGTTTCATGTAATTGAAACGTAAAGCTTTCCTTTCGAGTAGGGTCAAGATTCAGTTTATAATTTTCTGGCTTATTGAACTTGTACAGTTTTTTTTTAATTAGCTAACTGAAACATCTTTAGCGATTTATAATTTTTATGTAATAATATGCGTTAGTAATTTAGAGCCTAGTTATAATGTCTTACAAATGTACTCCTCCGTAGGTTGGTTGGGCTCAAGAAGCATATATGAAAATAAAGTTGGGATGCTTTGTTCTAACTTCTAAGAGTAATTTTACCATGTTTTTAACGCACATACTCCACTTGTAATGACACCCTGTGGGGTGTGTTGAACGTAGATTTTGTAGTATTTTTTGGATACTCAATTAAAACTTTAAGTCATTAAAAATTTAGTTGTGTTTAATCAAAATTGTATAATATCCGTTTAAATCTAATGGTATTATAAAGTCTGGATTTCTAAAGGTTTCTTAAAAATGGATGGTGATGGATTTTTACTATTTTAGGGTTCTTGGTATCAATTGGAATCTTTTTACATTTTTTTCTAAAAACATTGTGATCTTACTTCTCCGATCTATTCTCTTTTATTTTAAACACAAGAGAAGCAACTCATGTGTTGCCTGAAGATGTGAAATACATATGTTTTTAGAATTGAATACTGGTGTTATGATTATTCTCTATATATGTTAATGATATTGTAATTCAAAGCACTTGCATTTTACATATAAAATAAAATTTCCTTCCTCCTAAATTAATCTTCCTTATATTTTTTTTAGTTATCTCAAATTAATCTTAGTTCTTTTTTTTTGAAAAGCTTTTTGTAACTCACCTTTCTTTCTCTTCTTTATATCACTTTCAATTACACAATTTTATTTTTCTTAAATTCTGCGCAAAGTCAAATTATGAACATTAATTTAGGTCAGAGGGAGTATATGACATACATTATGTAGACATATATTCTGTATAATAGAAATATATATTGTTTTGAGTAAGACATACAAAGGCTTTTTATCATCATTATATGTTTGTGTTTGGTATTTTGTTCATTTGAGAGAGAAACAATACTGAAGCAATGTCTACTTTTTTAAGGAAGTGGAACAATTTTTTTAAAAAATAATCATCCAAGGGATGATTTTAGACCAAGAGATTTGAACAACAAAGGTAACTAGAGCAGTGAAAGAAGGTCAGATTCTCATAATCAAGGAGGAAACAAAGTAGCATATGTTTCCTTGGCAAACACACAACCCTAATTGTTGAACTAAGAAGAATGATGGATGAAAGGGGTTAGGCTCATGAAATATGGGTGAAGTGTATTAAATGAGGTGGGTGAGGTGTAATAAATAAAGTAAGTGGGGGTAGTTATGGTATTTTAATTGTTAAAAAATGAAATGAGAAGATCTATTGTGGATAAAGAAAAAGGACTATTGAGAAGATCTTTGGGGGATAGGAAGTAATTGATTAAAGAAGGACTAGAAGAACACAAAAGGTCAGACTTTTTTAGTCCACAGAAGCAACCATCAACAAGACATTTCGAAGCAACCATACCCATCCCATCTAGGACAAATACACAAGAAGGGTTTTAAGAAATTTCTAGAAATGAATTTCAAAGTATAGATCAACATGCTCTTATTTGATGTCTTGAAACGCTTGATCATTCATAAAAGAAACTGGATGTAGGGGTGTAAATAGATAACAAAAAATTCTGTTATCATTCATATGAGAAAAAAATTCGAATTTGTTTAAAACGAATATTATTTGTATCCGATTAAATACATTAGATTGATAAACAGATGCAAATTTAGTTATTATACATCCAATCCTTTTAAAATTTAATTCATATAACCCAACTTAATATAATACTCCCTCCGTCCCCAATTTGATTACAAATTAAATTGCGGGTTACGGAGTAAAATTTTCTACTTTTTGAAATCATTTTATTTACAAATTGGTATATCAATAAGATATAAAAATTACATTTTAAAAAACTACGTCAAAAATTCTACAAAACAAGAGGTGACAAGAATATTTTATTTTATCAATTACTTAATAAATCGCGTAAACAAACAAAAGTTATCGAGAGGAGAGAAAAAAAAGATTGTAATCAATGTACAAAAATAAACTTTTTTACTTAATCTATGTACAAAAATTAGATCAAATTATTCAAGTATATCAATGGAGAATTAATATCTTTTTAGAGACTAGAGCCATCAACTCATATGTTTTGGAATAATTATAAATTTTAATCAATAATAATCAACATAATAAACAATTTCATTTTATAGAAAATTGAAAAATAAAAAAAAATATCGAAAAAGTTTCACTAATTACACATAAAAAGGAAAAATATTATTTTAGATCATAAAAAGTTTCACACATTACACATAAAAAGGAAAAAAGTTTCACACATCACACATTATTTAGATCATACTTTAAAAAGGAAAAAAATTATTTGAAAATGCCTGGATGCTTGTGCGATTCTACGATTGTGCGATACTCGATCAAACGATTCGAAGGGAAGCAGTAAATTTGGAAATAATTGGAAGGGAAGTAAATTTTATTTTTGAGAATTTGGACAATTGGGCCACTTTTTGAATTGGGTCTTTAGACTTTAGGTAATAAATTGGTTTGGGCTAAATAATGGACTGGGGGCAGATTTATTTTTTTATTGAGGCAATTATAAATAAAATTTAAAAATATACATACATTAAAAAAAATTTATTGGGGGCAGCTGCCCTCATATTCCAAAGGGTGGATCGCCCGTGGTCTCGGGGGGTGGACACCATGAAACAGGAGGCTTTGATAAATTTATGTTTCCGCATACTACCGTAATGCCGAGATTGTCTGTCATGTCTTCAACTCCATAAGGAGAATCCTTGTCCCACGCCTTGGTTAGTATCCAAAAATTTACCTATAACTTTTAACCTGCTAGTTTGGATTTTGGATTATATTTTCCTAAGCTGATCTTATTTCTGTTGTCCAAAATTACTACGATAATGACGTGAAGACAAGCCAACAAGAGTTTCTTCTCAAATCCACAAGTCTCAAAACCTTCTCACACGAATAATGCGTCTTTTGTGTTTCTAGGGGCAAATAAGTCACATCATGTCAATGATAGAGAGCCAGTTTCATCAAAGAAGCCACATAAGGGACAACTAACCTAATCGCTACGAATAAGGTTATCTATGGTATTAACCCTTTGTGGAATTCGAAAGGAAAGGGAAAGAAAAAAAATTTCTCTCAATTTCTTCACCAAAATGTTAGAAAAACTATTTTCCTTCTCTTTAGTTTACTTCTTCGCCCTTTTCATTTCTCTCCCTATGTTTGTTTGCTTGTTTGTTTAGTTAAGGATAGCTAATAAAAAGAAAAACAGCCAATCAACTTTTGAAATCCGCATACCCTCACTGATGCTTTCCTCCTCCTCCTCCTCCTCCTCCTTACTTTATCTTTTTTTGGTCATTGGTGCAAACTTTGTTTCATATTAGTAGGCCCCAAATGAGTTTGGGAATAAGGCTTGGTTGTTGTTGTTGTTGTTGTTCTAGCTTATAGTGGCACCCCACCGCATCAAGATACAGAGATGTGTGCCACAACAAATCACAGCTCATCAAAAACTATGTCAAAACCATTAAACATGTAACTTTCCTTTATCAAATCAAATTGCACACGCCACATATGGTTCTGTAGAAAACTTCTCCACTATTCTAATGTGATCAATCAGCATACAATAGCAAGAGCAATGTGATAAATGAATCATAATTAAGAACATGATTACCTAGACAAGGAAGTACTTGACACCAAAGCAACGGGTGGGAAGGGTATAGGTCTGTGGAGGAAGTGGCATGACGAGTAGATCACCAGGACTGTCACTGGCACGCTCGAACTTAAACTTGGCGATATAGACATAGGTGGTGCGGACTTTATCAAAATCGATGGAGTAAGTAGCTAAGCACAAGATCCCATTCCCTAAATAAAGCATAGCATCAAACTCACATCTCCAAACATCGTCTGGGACCTCCGAAGTAAGCACAACGTTAAGCCACTGTTTGGTGGCAACATGGTATGCGCCGAACATCTTCGGAATTTGGGGCAGATAGAAAAGAATCATCCCTTGAGCAAAGACGAGTACGGAAGGCCATGAGAAAGATTCGAGAACAAGTTCCCATCGATTGTTCGATGGGTAGTAGGCAAACACGGATTTGATGCTATGGAAGGGGATGAGGATCCGTTTATTCTCATCGTCGACAACCCCACACCGATCTTTGTAGATGTCGAAAAAACCCACCTGAGGTGGTGGAAGCAATTTCTCCCACTTGTTTGAGATGGGATCAAAAACCTCGGCTGCCTCAGACTTGTCACCGCATTGAAATAGATATATCTTACCACCAAATGCGACCACAGCAGGTATATAGGGAAGACGATAGCTCACGTAAGGGGCTTCCTTCCAACCCCTTTCACCATCATCACCTTGGCTCAAATCTAGAAAAGACATGCCCTTGTGATAGATGCCCTTTTTGTTGTTAGTTACAGAATTCGGTGGCTCAATGTTGCACCACCTGGTCTTATCACGTTCCCAGATGCCAACAACATAGATGACTGAACCCACAGCCACCATGGAATTCCAGCCCTTATCGGCAAATAAAACATAAGGGCAATCTGACACCTCACCTGTACGGAAATCGAGGAAGAAAAATTCACCAAACTCGAACCCTAATTCAACACGTCTTGCTACCTGCAACAACAGCTTATCCTTCTCCACATCTGGTGAGATGGAGGAACCACTACTCCTCTCCTCAATCCCCATTTTCTCTTTTCAAACTGTTACCTGCATGTAGTCAAAGACTTTGAAATCAGGGTTGAGTAAAAAAATAACTTGTCAGCCACTTTTAGTGCTAGTTAAAAAATTTGAAGCCAGCAATTCATAACACTCACACTACAACCCTACTTAACTTAGCCACAGCTGATTAGAATAGTTTCCTCCAAATGTGAGAGCTAATTACAACATAATCATCCCACTAACAGCAACAAAGTATCTAAGTTGTCATCTAATCACACTACTCATAACAAAAAAAGAACTTATTTAATAATTTGAAATAACCGTCCAAAACGAACAGCTTTATAGTATAAACGTAAAACCGAAATAACCAAATTCATGCTACTGGTGTATTTTTTTCATATGCTCAGAGGGGAAAAATGAGAATCGAATACTCCAACAAAGTTAAAAAAAAAACTAGAATCCATGGTTTTGCAAGGCGACCGAGG